ATATATATATATATATATATATATATATATATTAACCACGTTGAGGACCCGCGCGTTTTGTTTGGTGCGTGGGGAGGAGGAAACAACTTAAACTTCATTATGATAATATTTCTTTTTAGAGGTTTGTTTTGATTGTCTGTTAGGCCTTCATTTACATTTGTTTGGTTTGGAGACTGTTGTCTCAGTCTGTTCCGGTGTCTCCGTATTTGCTTGCTGAGGAGGAGACAGTTGTTGTCTCCAGTAAACAAGCTTCTCTTTTCTCTGTTTTCTTATCTGTCTCTTTGTTACCCTCTGCATGCGCTTTGATCTCTTATTGTCTCTGCCTATTTGTCTGTCTATTTGTCTATCTTGTTGTTGTTTATTATTCTTTGTGTATATTGTATGTGTACTCTTCTGTCTCCTCGTGTGTCTCCTTTAGTCCCCTGCTTCTATTCTGTCTCCTTTTGTCTCTTGCAACTGATTTTTGTATCTTTTCTGTCTCCTTTCATCTGTCTCTTTCCTCGAAGGAACCTCCAAAGGCGTTGTTTATACTATGAATAGGGTATTTAGGGCATTTGTTTCTTTTTCTTTTTTGATAGTTGAGTTTCCTTCTTAATATACCTCTGCACTTAAACACCATTAACAAATGCAATTGGGGGGGAGATGCCTCACTGCTGCCTTTATTATTAATTATTATTAATGGCTTTAGCAGTCCATCTAGCCCTATGGGGGGATCTTGCTGTGCACCCCACAAGGATCCCCACACGATCCCGTTCCCGATCCCAACCCCGATCCCGATCCCGATCCCAACCCCATTTTCCAGTTCTTCGATCCCGTTTGTTCGTGGGGAAGTTGTGTGCATTAAAACTAAAAGAGAACCTCTTGCATCACCTGAACGAGGAGACAGTAGAAGTAAAAGGAGACACATTTTAAATCGAAGGAGAGGAGAAGACAAACAGAGAGAGACAGTCTTCGTGCTGCTGCAGGAGACAATAACAGCAGCAGCAGACAGCAGCAGCAGCTCTAGTTTGTTAGAGACAGCTTAACATAGCTGTCTCCAATACACAAGCTAGATACTGCCCTGTTGGCCTCTACTCGTATACACTGTAGAGGGGACAGTACATAAAACCCTAAATATCTTCAATAAAGGCCTAAAAGGGTTAATAAGAAACAGCAAACATAACTACTACTGTCTATTTAGAGACAGGAGCCGGAGAAGGGGGGTTGTGCTCCTGGTGTCTCCTCAGTCCCCTCTGTCTCCACTGTCTCCTTTTTCTCTCTTAACTCTCACAATTCTTATTAAAAACCTTTGTTTTTAAAGGTCTGAGCAGATATACACCTGCATCAGCAGCAGCAGCAGGAGAGCAGCAGCAGCAGCAGCAGCAGCAGCCGGTACAGCAGCAGCAGCCGCTGCAGCAGCAGCAAGCCACCGAGCCTCAAGCGGGCCCCTTGCATAGGGGTGTGTGGCCTTGAGGTGTGGGGGTCTCCTCTATGGGAAGGAGGAGTTTTAATCTCCTTTTTAGTTTTCTTAAGGGTTTAGGGTTTAGGGTTTAGGGTTTAGGGTTTAGGGTTTGGGGTTTGGGGTTTTGTGCTCTTGCTGAACTCCGCCATGATGCTACCTGCTCTCCCCTCGCCTCCCCTCCCCGAGTGCCTATCCCTTCTTGTGGGGGCCCCCTCTTCTCTTTGTTGTTAGGGCCCCTCTTACCCCATACTTTGTCCCTCTTTATTTGCTGCTGTACTTCCTGCTGCAGCAGCAGCTGCGTGTACACCCGAGCACAGAGCAGCTGGGGTGCTGCCCCCGCTACCTAGCATGTCTCCACAGCTGCAAGAGTCCCCTTCAGGGGGCCCCTTAGAAGAGCCCCCCGAAGAAGGGGGGACCCCAATAGAATTATCTGGTGCTGTGGGGCCCCAGGGGCCCCCACAAACTGTCGACAGTGGAGGCCCTGAACTGGGGGCCCCGGGGGGCCCCCCTCTCCTGCTGCAGGATGAGAAGGGGCCTCATGAGAGGAGCCCCCCCTTCAGCCCCGATGGGAACCAGAGGCCCCCCTCTGAGGGGCCCCCCCATATCCCACAGGGGGCCCCCGAAGTAGATGAGGGGCCCCCACTGTGCACTGAACAGGGTATCAGGGGCCCCGAGAAGGAGGAGGGGGCCCCAGAGAGAGAAGAGCCTTTCTTTGCTTCTGAGGAGATCAAGAGTGCCTCTGCAGCAATACAGATGGGGGTAGGGGAGGGGCCCCCTTTGTCTTTCATTGCAACGCCTCCAGGGACTGCTCCTGGGCTTCAGGCTGGATGGGGCCCCTTGGGGGCCCCCCTCCAACCAGCTATTAAAGACCCTCTTACAAGTCCCCTAGGGGCCCCCTTAGAGGCCCCCGTAGATGCCTCTCTAGAGGCCCCGATGGAGGCCCCCCTAGAGGCCCCCTTTGGGGCCCCCTTAGAGGCCTCCATAGGGCCCCCTCCCCTAGAGGCCCCCTTAGGGGCCCTCCCCTTAGAGGCCCCTTTAGGGGCCCCCGTAGAGGCCCCATTAGAGGCCCCTCATAAGGCCCCCGTAGAGGCCCCTTTAAAGGCTTCCTTAGGATCACCCCTAGAGGCTCCCCTTAGAGCCCCCTTAGGGGCCCCCAACTCAGGGGGGGGCCCCCAAGGGGCCCCCCCTCTTTCTTCTGTGCTGTCACAGGAGGAGCTGTCGTGGCTTGGGGGCCCCCTGGGGGCTTCTGCAGATCATAGTAATTTTGTTGAGGCCTTGTATAGCCTTACCTTAGTTGATAAGACTCCTCCACTCCGCGTTCAGCAGCAGCAGCTGCAGCAGCAGCAGCAGCAGCTACAGCTCCAGCAGCAGCAGCTGCAGCTGCAGCAGCAGCAGCAGCAGCAGCAGAAGACGGCAGCAGCAGCAACATACAGCGCCGCCAGAAGGCATGACTCTTTTCTCTCTGCTGCTTCTACTGCTGCTTCTGTTGCTAGGGGCCCCCTGAATTGTTCAGAGGGCAGAGCTGGAGACAAAGGGATAAGGAGACAAGGAGAGAGGGGGGCCCCCCAGGTGTCTCCTCCGGAGTCACCGGGGGCCCCTTGGGTCTTCGCAGCGCAGGGCCAGCAGCTGCAACAACAACAACAACAACAGCAGCAGCAGCAGCAGCAGCGCGCGCTGCAGCAAGAACACTCAGTTCAGCTGCTCAAGCAGCAGCAACAAGCAATGCAACACAAGCAGCAGCAGCAGCATTTTCCGCAGCAGCAGCAGCAGCAGCAAGTGCTGCAGCTGCAGCAGCTGCAGCAGTTGCAGCAGCTACAGCAGCTCCACCAGATGCAGCAGCAGCAGCAGCAGCAGCAGCAGCACGGGTGGCAGCAGAAGAGGGCCCCCGTTGGCGCCGAGTTGCGACCAAACAACTTGGGGGCCCCCTCAGTTGCTTCATCATCGCAGGGTATAAATAGGGGGCCCTCTGGGGGGCCCCTGACCATACAACCAGCAGCAACAGAAGCAGCAACAACAGCAGCAGCAGCAACAGCAGCAGCAGCAACAGCATATGATTCTGCTTCAGTGCTTGAGTTGCAGCAGCAGGCCTTACGCTCAGGCCTTCAGCGTCTCCCTCAAGGGGCCGCACAGCAACTTCAATCTTTGGGGGCCCCCCAGCCATCCAAGGGGGCCCCCAGCACCAGCAGCGTGGTTGAGCAGCTGCTGCTACTGCAGCAACAACTCACCCTTCAGGACGCAGCAGGTGGTTCTGTTGCCCCTGCTGCTGGTCCTGCTGCTGGTCCTGCTGCTGCTGCTGCTGCTGCAGCTGCTGGAGTAGGGGACCGGCATCTCGATCTCTCTGCTGCACAATTAGAGACAACTGCTGAGGGGCCCCTCACGGCAGCCTCCGAGGGACAGAAGGCCCTGGATAGCAGTTTTAACGCTCTCTTGAAGTGCTATTTAGAGTTACTGCTGCTTAGACAGCAGCAGCAGCAGCAGCAGCAGCAGAAGCAACGGCAGCAGCAGCAGCAGCAGCAGCAACGACAGCGCCAGCAGCAGCAACGGCAACAGCAGCAGCAACAGAGGCAACAACACCAACAACAACGGCAACAACAGCGTCAACAGCAGCAGCAGCAGCAGCGGCAACAGCAGCAGCAGCAGCAGCGGCTGCTCCAGCGGGGCCTTCGAAGACACAGGGGACAAAGGGGGCCCCCGGGGGCCCCATTAGCAGCATTGGCTGCTGTACAGCAGGGAGGAGACCCTGCAGGATGGGCTGCAATTGCTGAGTATCTGCAGCAGGAACAGCAGCAGTTGCAGCAGCAGCAGCTGCAGCTGCAGCAGCAACATCAACAACAGCTGCTGCAGCAGCAGCAACAGCAGCTGCAACAACAGCAGCAGTTGCTGATCCAAGCAGCAGCAGCAGCAGCAGAAAGGTCCCCAGGGGGAAGAAATGCTGCTTTGGGTGTACTCGCAGCAGCAGCTCCGCGTACTGAGGGGCCCCCAAGGGGGGCCCCCCGAGGGGCCCCTGTTATTAATTTGTCTCCTCAGGGCCCCTTTGAGGACCCCATGAGGGCACGACTCCTGCAGTTAGCTGCAGGTACAGACATAGATTCATTTTCAGCAGCAACAGCAACAACAGCAGCAGCAACACCAGCAGCAGCAACAGCAGCAGCAGCAGCAGCAGCAGCAGCGCGCATGGCTCCCGATTTGCTTGAGGGGCCCCCCTCACGCCTCAACATGCCTTGGGGGCCCCCCTCAGTTTAGTTGTTATTGCAGCATCGTCTCTAGTTGCCTTAATATCTATTAATGATGTTTATAGATCTGGTATTTGAGATGTAGTAAGCGGGAGCAGAGCCGGGGGGCCCCCCCCCCCTCCCCTCCTAAAGGG